GGTTTCAATGGTTCTCTAACTAATGTAAGAGTAAAATTTGACCCCTCTGGTAGAACATAATTTCATATTGTATAAGTTTCTTTGGTATATCACTCAGTGGTAAAGTAATAATAACTGGATTACGCCACGTTTCAAGTACAACCTACTTTAGTGACTAAAATATTCAACACCATACTAGACTATGGTCTGAAATACTGCTGTAGAATGATTGTTTCAATCACTGTAATTCTGTGTGGTCTAGTCACATGGTACAATCCAGTTATTCACACTTTGTCATCGTCTATTATATCAGTTAAACTTATCCAATACAAAATGACTGATAGCTAAGTTTACACTCCCAGTATATGATACAGCCATTCACTACTAAGCCCTTATTTCAAAAAGTAATGATAACTGAATACATTTTATTCCTTTTTTAATCTCCTTAAACTTTCTACTCTTTTATTTTAACATACAGACATTTATTGTATCAGTGTTTTAAGAAATGGACCGAATATCCTTTATTACAAAGGATTCAACGTGAACGAGAATATCGTAGAGAACAGTTTCGTAAATGTCTTTTGGATATTGTTCCTGATTTTAGTCCACCTAAACAAGATGTCAGTGAAATGGATTAATAATTAATAAAAATAAATTTGAAAAATTTTACTGTTTATTATGTAATTATAGAAAAAAAATCTGTACAGAGTTTTCATGTTTAAAACTGTTTAATCATTGTTTCTCTTTTGAAATATTTTTAGCAATAATAGTTATGCAATACATTGTAAATAAAATTATACCGGTTGTGTTAAAATTGAACAGTACTTTGTTTTCCATAAATAGTATAGCGACAGGTGGAATTTTGATTGATGAAAAGAAGCCATTGATGCGACAGTTAGTAGCTTTAATTACGATTAATTTTTTTGTGGTCGGTCCACAATGGCACATCTGTTTCGCTTTGTACTACATCAAATAGAATCATACTCTGTTATACTATAAATATTCAATTCTTATAAATAGAAAAATAACTATGAAAATCATGGAAAAGGTTTGTGAAAGGCCATAAGTCATTCAAGTTAGATCATGAAGTGACGTCGATCGTTTCTTTTTAGACCAGAGAGTGGACTCAGGACTCAGCCCGTTAATCTTTCAGCCACTGTAAACCAGCACTTAGAAATTCAAGTGAAAATGGAATGCAAATGACAGAGATTTGAAATGAGTAATGTGTAACAAAAAAGAAAATGTATAGCTACAAAACGGAGCTCAGTATATCTGTGACCAACGTAAGCAGAGTTATGAATGATGCGTAGATTGACTTTGAGAGCTCTGTAGAATGTTTTCAATCAAAAAGAGGGCAGAACTGCAACTAGTGATGTTAGATTACGAAACCGGTGCATTACTAACCGAAGTGCGACTTGTTTTAAGTCCAACCATCATTGTTTTGCTGTAAAATAGATCTTCTGATGCGTACAGACACTAAATAGTTTAGCTGTTTAACATTTCTGTGGAATAAGGGATAAATGACGAATGTTTTTACGGAATAAGATAATGTCATTGGACATTTTGCGGTGCATATGATGTACACATATAAAGTAATGCGGCTGAATTAAAGCTTGTGAACCGAACTCATCATATTTTAAAACATGAGTCGGTAAGTTGTTCAAATCTCAAAAGTCCTTAAAAGATTGGAAATTTGAATAAAACAGAAATGAAATGAATCATTAGGTTTATAACCAAAGCTGCAATAGGTTAAAGACAGACAGCAGAGGTGAAGAAATCTTTTCACCCGAGTAAATGAAAGGGGACTGCAATTTGGTTTTGGAGACAGAGATTTTTTAATTGAAATGACCTATGTAGACAGAAGAAAGTTGCATTGTACCTCCTATTGACAGTAGGTTTTATATCCAGTAATTGATGAGTGAAGTAACTGTCAGGCTTAACATTTTTCATAAGTGCCTATCAAAGGTTTATCAAGGTTCGTTTTCTCTTCACTTGATGTGCAACATACATAAATATTTGCTAACGTTATCGTAGTCTTATGAAAAGCTAGGTAGCATATTTCCAGTGAAAGATATACTGTACGCAGTAACTTTTAGCCGTTGTCTAGTTAAGTCTGCAGTTTGGTTTCTTTCGAATGAAAACAAGACAGCTGCTTAAATTTCGTTTAGGTTAATTTAACAGAAGAATAGAACTAGTTCTTGTGGTAGATTTAAGTGGAACTTCGAGGTAAAATCTCGTTTAAAACATGGTAATACTGAAGAATATTTCTTGTTTAGTGTCCTTAATAAGACAAGAATCTGCTTTGATTGGACATCAGGTAGTAACTAACGTCTAGTCCTTCATCTATTGCAGACTGAATTCTATCAATTAAACGAAGGACTCAAAGCATGACATTAGTTACTACCTGATGTCCAATTAAAGTGTTCGTTACACTCTTATAGAGGGTCAGTCGCGAGCCCCGAAAAGCTCAATTGTAGCGCCTTTGACTGCAGGTCTGAGTGAATCAGGTTTCAATCTCAGAAAGGACATAAGTTTCTTGAAGACTGTGACTGCGCCTTGCTAATGAGTGCCACAAAGCATGAAACCTAGGTTAAACGCTTCCTGCCTATCACCCTACACTATCTAAAGATAATTTCTCTATACAGTGGTCTAGTACTTTTACAAATTCAAATTTTACTTCCTGTTACTTAAACATTGTTTATTGTCTCCCGCTTATCTCATGATCTTCAGGAGATCGTATGTCTTAGTCGTTAAATATTTCACTATTTTTCATCTTTAATTGTTCAACTTTCTTTCTGTATTGTCATTCTGTTTTTCACTTTGTTTTACCTTCTTTCAAAGTGCTGTAACTTGTATTTCTGCGGTTCACTTTTATCTCTATGACACTTAAGTTTAAATTTTGTTATCAGCAATGTCTGTCATGTTATATCATCATCCAGAAATATCTTCTGACGTTTTTTAGGTAATATTTTGTCTATGCTGGTAACTTGTCTTAGATTGCTTTAGTTCTGTTTGCAAGAAAGTCGTTCTAGTAGTATGCGGGGTTGAAGGTGAGGCGGTAACTTATCGAGGAAGACATTGCGAAGTGGTCCTTTTATGTCATGAATTGGCAGAAGTTAGAATTTATGGGCTAGCCATTGAATCGAGTCTTAGTGACCTAACGGTCTACGAGCTCGCCTTGTAACCAGAAGGTCCTTGAGTTCGAACCTCACAGTGTAGGTGCGTACTGTGAAGAGTCCCAAACTAGGACGAAACAGCTTTCCAGCACTCACAGCTAGTTTTCCAATGGTTCTCTAAGTGATGTTAGCTCATGATGAAGTCCTCCATCCAATAAAACAAAATCCCTACAAAACAAATACATGAATATTCATCTTTTATTAGGAAATGAAATTTTCGTAATTTGTTACTGCGATAGAGTTAAGTTCATTCTTTTTTATTTTTCAAATAATTGGAAGGAATCAATGTATATTCTGGCTGAATGGGATATCAATTCGCCTCGTAGTCTGGGGATCGTGATATTGATCTCTGGTGGGGTCATGGGCGCGTACTTCTGAAGAGTCCCAGGCAAGGACGAAACAGCTCTCTACTGATTCCTGCTTTTTAATGGTTCTCCAACTGAAGTCAATTCGCGGTCAAAACTGAAGTCAATTAAATCTCTACAAATCATTACTTGAAGGCTAACTAAATATTCATAAAAGCCTCTATTTACCTGTCATCCTGAATTCTCTGATTTCGTTTATTTGTTGTACGAGATTCTTTATTTTTCATTATGAGATCTTTTTATTTATACACACGTTTTGTGTGATACATTTTAAATGAGAAGTAGTACCTGGTATGGTCAACCATGTCAGAATGAAGCGAACAGCCGTCGATTACTTACTAGATAGCATTAGTTGTGTATTGCAAACAGTCAGAGTATAGAATTCACTGGTTACTGAATTCATAACCAGTGGCTGGTCTCGTAACATGAGGGTCCTGGCTGTGATCCACGAGGGAGCCATGGGCTCGGACTACTGAAGAATTCCGAAACAGAAGTAAATAGATGTCATATGTGCCTTGCTTTTCAATGGTTCTTTAACTGATGTTAATCCATGTTGTAATCTACTCTGAAACTAATTGAAATCTTTACAAGGCCTAAAATATGAGCACAATAAATTATTCTATAAATGAAAAGAATGTTACAACATTTGAAACACTTATATTTTCGTGATCTATCAAGTAGAAACGGATATCCGACTAAATTCTTGAACAAACACATGAACTCAGAAAGTGAAAAGTCGAAGGTGCCGACTGTTCCCAAAAAAATCCGTCTTTCTAAGATTACAATTCATGGGTGATGTCAATAGCGAAATCTAATCGCAACATTTGATAAGGGCTTTCAAAAAGACTTACACCGCAGCCAAGCTATACTATATATTCACTAGCCGACCAATACTCAGTTCAAGAAATAAAGAAGGACTGCCCTGTTTCGCCTCTACCATGTGTATTTACCAGTTTAACTGCTCCTGAGGATCTAGTTACATTGGGCGTACGATCAGGCAAGCTTATCGTGGAATTTCTGAACACCTCCCATCTTAGTTCGGCATAGGTCCAAATAAAGCTATGCGCGGCTCAATACTAGTTCATCTCGTCAATACCGAACATCAAGTCGACTCTAACAAAGCTTTTAAAGTTATTTATCACATATCACCCAACCTCTCGCCTCATGGTCTACGGGTACGACTTTTACATACAGCAGGAGCAATCAGAATTCATCTGAACAAGCCAAATCTATGTGTTCAAAAGAAATTTGCACATCCCGCTTCTTTGCCATGGCAAACTACTAATGTGTATTAGGTTTTTAAAAACAATTCCCTTCCCCGTTTGTAACTATTTTTTGACTTTGTTTATTTTTACAATTCTAGTTAATTCTATTAACTTGTTTGTATTTTACGTAACTGTATATTAGTGTAGATCCAGCTGACGACAAGGAGCTAATTGAAACGGATTGCATATTTCTTCGATCAATCTGTTGTTTTTGTCTAACCTTATATTTATATTTATAGTAAACAATTTTTGGGTATTGAGGTATTGTGAGGTTATAGTCAATATTTAATAACAATAATACAAAAACAGCAGAAGAATTGAATAATTCTCAAAAACTTCCAAGTACTGTATACTAATGTCACTAAGCTATTGTTTAATCCAAAAGAATCAACTTGAAGTTAAAAGAAGGTTAAATTTAGTTGAAATTTCTTCCCTTGATATAACTATCTTCTGATGACTTGTAAGCCATGTTCTGCTGATAAAATTTGTTCTAATTTGAAGTTCTAAAACAAGAAAAGTAACTCATAGAGATTTTTTATTTAAAATACTATTACATTCATTTTACATTTATGAATAATTCATTATCATGTATTTAGTTATTTAGTATTAAAAGAATTCAGTATATCAATTTCAAATGATGATGATTATCAGTGTATTATGTTATGAGGAATGGAAAGTAGTCAAAAGCGATTTCCTTGAAGGTATAAAAATGTCACAGGTGCTAACAAACAGTCAGATGTTAAATAAATCATACATTCTGAAATAATGGAAAAGATTTGTAGCTCAGGTGGATGATAATGAATGAGTTGTGTTCTCTGAGGAGCTGGTTGATATAACTGCGAAGCTTTCGTTGTCCTTCTTCAGCTCAATTTTTAGTGTGAAATGAATTTATTTGAATTCTCCATGAATGATGTAATTGCATCCCCTGGCGACCACTATCGTGACTGGCTGTTAATATACGTTTGTTTTCGAGTATTGATTTTTGTAAGGATTTGGTTTGATTGGTTGGAGGATTTCATCATGAGCTGACATCAGTTAGAGAACCCTTGGAAAGCCTGGGAGTACTGGCCAACTGTTTCTTCCTAGTTTGGGTATCGTACATCTCTATTTTATCGACTTGAAATTCGAACTTACTTGTCATGTGATTTACTTTTTATTAGCTGGTAAATTTGTTCTATAATAATGTTTGTCAACTGTTGATTCACTTGAGTACCAGGCTTCTAGAAATTCCCTGACAGTATTTTTGGTGTCCCCTCTATTTAGAATTTCGACATTATCCCAATCAAATTAATGTCCATAGTTATCCACATACATGTAGACACCACCCGTACAGTGATCTCCAGGAGATAAAATTACATCATTCATGGAGAATTTAAGTGAGACCGTTTTATACTCAGACCTGAGATGAAGGCAATGTTGTCTAGAAGGAGGACGACGAAAGCCTTGCAATTAAATCAATCAGCTTCTGGGAGAACAAAACTCATTCAAAATATACATCTATTGATATTGAAAATGTTAAATTCATCGGGATACTGTTGTATTTTATCCATATAGGATGTTTCAGCTAATGTATCTAGTTCTGGCAGCTGCTTCAGATAGTAGTTGAAGCCAGACTTAACCACCAGTACTTTCTTGTGAATTTCATCTCTCAGTCTACGACGTCAAGGGTTTTTTCGTGATAATGTGCTGTACATATCTATCAGCAGATTTTGAGTTTAAAATTTTTTTCGGAACTTTAAATTATTCGACTTTGCTTCATTTTTAAAATTAAGGAGTAAATTTTTCGATATCAGAATCTTTGAATTTACTTTTTCGGAGGAATCTTATTATAAAACCTTCAGTATCAGTTAATGAATTTACTCTTAGCAGATACAGCTGAACTACCTCCTCTTTTCTTGACATACTCTAGTGTAAATCTTTTTGTAATCTTGACTTTCGACATCCTGTTTACAATATGAGGTATTTTATGTTAATCCCATCTTTTTGTTATCTAGAAATTTTTGACGGAGAACCACTAGAATGACTGAAAAGTCTGACTTACTTTAAGGTTTACACGGAATATGTGTAACCAGTTTATATCATCTTTCAGTGTTAGTTATAACTACTGTGTCCCGGCCGACAACTGCTACCTTGCCGTGGTGGTCGGGCTTGAAAACCGCAGTGACGCAACAAACTAAACTGGCTGGGACACATGTCCCTGCAGATCCTACTACGTCAGGAGGGTTGTCTAGATAGCGGTTAGACTAAAAGCAGTTACCATGGGGTACATGGGCTCCAGTTTCCAATCGGATCGAATGGCGTATGAACCCATATGGGACCCTGGCAACCATGGGAATGCAGCTCCTGACGCTACTCGGCTGCCTTGCGGAGTAGACTCAAAGTCAAAGGCTCGTGGAGTGGTCCCTTAAGAGAACCACCTGCTTCGGTCTGGGTGCCCGGGCAGTATCTCAGCCCTCACACAACAAATGAAGTTAAACAACAAACTGTCATTAAAATTCATCGAGCACTGGTAAAAATGATTCCAAGCAATAATGATCCCTCAGGCAACTTATGTCCTTCCAACCTTGCTTTTATTTTTATACTTAGATTCCTGTATTTTACCTATGCTAACCTTGACTTCTTAACCTTCAACAGCCTTTCGCCTTTGTCTGGATTCCTAGCCTATCTGTGTCGTTTCGAGATGCTAGTAAGTAGCCTTCAAAATGGTTGTCCCCAATGTGACATCTAACACAGATATCCTGAAACCGCGTGCCGCTTTCAAGCTGGCCACCTACAATGTTTGGACGCTGATGCAAATCGGACAATAGGCAGGGTTAGTAAGAACACTGCAAAGCCTCGCTATCGATGTCTGCTGCATTTCGGAGACCCGCATTCAAGATCCCAGTGAAGTGCTTCGACTATTCTTTCCATCTGTAAGTTCTAGTGTAACAACAGAAGACAAGGGCCAGGCAACAGATCGTTTTATTATGAAAATCAACACGTATTTATACATCTTTCAACTACATTATTATAGACAAGCGCAGTCATCTGATTGGTTGTTTAGGTAGACAAACGCAGGCTTCTGATTGGTTGTTTCGGGATTCCTTGACAAATAGAGTTCTCTCTGCGAATCATATTTTGCCACGTTAACTTTGCTGTGATTGGTTGTTGACTCAGGCTTGTTCATATTTTCTCACGGCCCATATTAGTGACCTAGACCTTAACGTAGATTAGTGCCAACCAATCGGCTAGCAGCCTGCTCTCACCACACTAGTAGTATGTACCACCTGCGCCTGTCCGGGGACCCTGTGGCGTCGGCATCCGGCGTAGCTGGTGCCAGTGTCGCACTGAGCGCTAGAGCCGAAGCTGCACTGCTCGACTGGATTCCCATTAACAGTCGTTTATGTGCTGTGAGGCTGGAAGGTTATACGAAAGTAAGAAGTAGTAGGCCAGATAGGCGGTGTCTATCTATTGTCCCTGCCTATGCACCGACGGATTGCAGCCCGGATGCAATGAAGGATGAGTTCTACTACCAACTTAGCGATTTCTTGAAACAGGCGGGTCGGGTGGATATCGTAGTGCTGGCCGGGGACTTGAATGCACAGGTTGGGAGTCTAAGCTCAGAGGAGAATCGTCTAGGTGGTCAATGGGGCCTACATGGTCGCAGGTCAGATAATGGGGACCATATTCTGCAGCATTGCGCGGATCGCAACCTATTTCTAGCCAGCACCAACTTCCGGCACAGCCATCACCGTAGCGCTACCTGGCGTCTTCCCTCTGCGAAGCAAGCTTGGACTTGCTGTCAGTTTCTGGTGGCGAGGATGCATACAAGACTGTCGCTCCTTCTGGAGCACATGTCTGAACTCCGATCATGCGTTAGTGTGTGCCAAGTTCGTCTTGCGATTTGGTGGGGTTCATAAAAGCCGTCGTCTAAACGTTGATGTGAGCAAACTAGTAGCACCTGCTACTTCTTTGAAATATCAGAATGAGTTACAATCAATGCTTGGCAGCAACCCCAAAGTGGTATAGATGAACATCGGTTTCATCTGCAAGGTGCCATGCAAAGGGTGAGTATAGTCGCTTGCAGCTTGAAAGAATGCTCCGTTAAAAAGCACTGGGTTTCTGCGAGTTCCTTGCAACTCCTGGATGAACGCCGGTCCATTCCGGCTGGCAGCGAATACAACAATAAGCGAAAGGCGCTCACGCGTAAGATAAGACAGTGTTTACGAAAGGAGCGCGAAGCCTGGTGGTAATAACGTGTGTGTAAGATGGAGTCAGCTGCTGCATCTGGCAACAGTCGGAAGCTGTTCCTACTCATCCGAGCCATCGGCAGCAAGGAACAAGGTGTCAGCGAGACGGTCTGTGAGGCAGATGGCACGCCAATTACCAGCTTTGAAAGATGCCTGGAATGCTGGGCAGAGCACTTCGGGAAACAGTTTAGCTGGCCACCAGCTTCACTGTCTGACGTCATTAGCCACAGTGCTCCTTGGTCGGTTAATACCGACCCATCCACTGAAGCGGAGGTCCGTAAGGAACTCCAAGTGTTGAAACGCCATAAGGCGCCCGGCCCAGACAATCTATTCCCGGCTATTTTTAAATATGGTGGCGAGACTCTCACAATGGTCCAAACTGGTTTGTTCAGGAAGTAAGGAGACTAAGAGTGTACCTCGATGTGGAAAGAAGCCATTATCGTCCCCATCTTTAGAAAGTGTCGGCGTAATTCGTGTGACAATCATAGGGGTATCAATCTGCTACCAGTCGCCTCTAAAATATTGGCTGCTGTCTTGCTTCGCAGGCTGTGCATAATACGTGAGGGATGGATTCGCGAAGAGCAGGCTAGGTTTCGTTCAGGTCGTGGATGCATTGATCATGTGTTCATCCTTCGTCAGTTGTTGGAACACCGCCATTCGTATTGCAGGCCAACGATCGTTGTGTTTCTTGATATTATGGCTGCCTTCGATTCGTTGAACAGAACTGTGCTCTGGAACTGTCTGTTAGAGAGAGATATACCTGAGAAATTTGTTAACATCTTGAAAGCCCTATACAGAAGCACCTTGGGTAGAGTGAGGGCACACAGCCAACTATCATCACTGTTCCCAACCAACAGTGGCGTTAGACAGGGTTGCCCAATCTCTCCATTTCTCTTTAACTTTGCCATCGATGACATTCTGGAGTCAGCTATGAAGGATGTGCGTGAAGGTGGTGTAGATCTGCTACCTGGGGATAGACTTTTCGACGTCGAGTATGCAGACGATATCGTCTTACTGTGCGATGGCATGCAGGTTGCCCGAATCGCACTTAATCAGTTGGCGATCAGTGTCTGTAAGTATGGTATGTGCTTTGCGCCGTCTAAGTGCAAAGTATTGTTGCCAGATTGGCAGGAGCTTGAACCTGCACTCACTCTTGCAGCTGAACCGCTTGAATTTGTTGATAAGTTCGTGGATCTTGGTAGTTGTGTGAGTGCTGGCGGAGGGGTGACGGATGAGATTTCCAACAGTATAATGTAGGCTAGGGTGGCATACAT